AAAACCCTTCATAATCATACGAGGCCTTTTGTGTGCTTTAGATCTAGACGCGCATGACTGATTACCTCCTGATCCAAAATTAATGAGGAAATTGATGCTCTTGCATCTCAAGATATGCCGTCTTAACTAACTTTACTCGTATGTCTGTGGGACTACCATGTTGTTGCAAAAGCCAACGCAATAACCCCTTTTCTCACTGTATTTACACACTTTACACCTAAAGTGGAGGAATCACAAGGAAGCCACTGTCTGGGTGGGGAGGGTTTGAGTTAATTAAAATGGCAAGTGCAGTAACAACTGCACTGTCACAACAACAGACTGATTTAGACGCAGTGGGATATTAAACAGCTCCCTAACTCACACAACGCAGCCAGGCAGGTAATATTGGTGCTTTTCTTAATTGCTTCTAGTGCCAGATGATAGGATGTTTCTGGCACAACCCTGAATCATCGCTGACGTTACTGTAGCTATAAGTCTGATGTGGGCGGCTGAAAGAAATATACTGTAGGGACGAAGCCTTTCATCCTTTATCATTCACAGGCCACATGGCCATTTTGTTTGTTTTTTTGACAAAGGGTGCTTATAGTTAGATACAGCAGGTGCCTATAGCCCAAATGATTCTGTTCCACTGGTAGCGTGCACACTCTGTGGCTCTGGCAAAGGGGCCAATGCAGGATGTGAGCTGTTTCCATGGTTACCGGCTCCGCTCTCTCTGCCTAGCAAAAACTGTGTCATTATCCGGTGCTTTGGATGGAGGCAGAATGAAGCCGCAGTGTACAGGGCAGTTCGCTCTTCTCGTTTCCTCCCCGGCCTGACCATGCATCTCACGCACATTAACACAATTTGCATCATTTTCTATCTCATATAGCCATTTCTGATATTCTATGCTTCCCCTTGCACGTGGCTGTAATTTTTTGCTATAATAATTTTAAGCAACACCGGTAATTTAAAGCCGTAAAAGCTGGAATGGAAGCGAAAATGGATGTGCGGCTTTTTCGTCTGAGCTTTGAGCTCCCATTTTTTGCAATTCGACTTGTCACAAAGCAATTATTTTATCAACCTTCCATGCACAAACATACTTATTTCTGTCAGATGTGCTATTTGATGCTGTGATTCAGCCTTATTGTGGTTTTGAATGCGGGAAAACAGTTCCCTCAAATTAATCCATATCAAAATGACTCTATTATATGTGTATTTGCAAACAACAAAAGCATTGGAAAAAATGCTGGATGTAAAAGAAAGTCAGTAGTTCCAGCCAGGACACATAATCTTGTGTGTATGTGTGTGTGAGATGTACTAATCTCCTTAGGTAGGCCAGTGTCTGTCATTAACAGGGCTGTGAAATAAAAACTCTCATGAAGATGAATGCCTGTACACTCTCACACCTGTTCCGAAGAGCCTCTCCTGAGTACTAGACTCAAGTTGTTTTGCTTCGGGGACAGACCTGCAGGCTTTCTGCCATTGAGATCGGTGTTGACTGTGATAATATGAGCATACCTAACATCAGCACCAAGGTGTGTCACGATTTCGATTTTAAATCAAAATTGATCGAAGTTAATTCTCAATCTCGAACTTCAGATTAAAATATGGAATCGTCGATGCTGCCACGCCCCCATGTCACGTCCCTTCGGCTTGCCAAGCGGAAAAAACACGCTTGAAGTGCTGCGAGTCTATGGTCAACCTCCTCTAACTTAGCTACAGCCTTTCAAAAGATAGCATGGCAACTGCAGATGCAGGAGACCCATCAACAGAACCTCTTTCATTGAAGTCGCAAGTGTGGAAGTTTTTTGGATTTCCAGTGAGTTATGACAATGTTCGCGCTTCAAAAAAGCCACAGTTTACTGACATCCCAAGTCTCGCGGAAGTTCCGGGAGTCTCCCGCATATTTGATAGCGGCTCTCATGATGCACGCAAATTACTTAAAATCTCCCGGAATCTAGAGTGAGCGAGCGTGCATGCCGAGACAAAAAACTGCTCCAAACCATATTCCGCACACGGCAGAGAGGGAAAGAGCGCGAGACCTTGCGTGTGTGTCTCATGAAGCGCATATAAGACAGAGAGCATCCTGATTGGCCGATTGATAAAAATCGAGAATCGAATCGAACCGTGTCCTAACTACATGCGACGCGACACGCGATAAAAGGTATCTTTTCCATGTTAATCAGAGTTTTTGTCTTAACCAGACGCGACGGCGTCACGCAAAGTTTCTAATTTAGAAACGGTTCCTATTTCTGCGACGTCACGGCTGACAGATCCGCCCACACAGAGATATTACACTGGTTATGAGTACACATTATTTATTTTTAGTTAAAAATAGGTCACTGTGCCACAAGCGATAACGGATAATTTACCTCAGATTTTGAAAGCATATAATATAGCGTTCAAAATTAATTCTATGCAAACATACAACTGTACTTCATAACAAAATTAGTCAATGAGTATATTTTGTTGATGTTTTGATTTTTAATGTCCTTACCCATTTCCGATGCGGGCCAGCAGTTCGCTTTCACAGAGAGACTCCGCCCACACGCTGTTCTGAATGGCTGTGATTTTTGATTGACGTGTGGTGTCTCACAGTCGCGTCGCGTCTAGTGTGGACAGATACACTTGCTGTTGCTGGAATTTTAGCATGTTGCGTGTAGTTAGGACACGGTGTTAGAATCGAAAATGTAATTGAATTGAGGATTTGGAGAATCGTGACACCCCTAATCAGCACAGGCATATCAGTGGCATTTGATAAGTCAAGTAATCACTATTACTATTGCTCATACTTGGAGATTAAATGTTGCCTCTTACAATGCTATGGACATGAATGATATATATGTTTTTTTTTTACTATCGACCATTGAGCAACTACATAGCAACATACAAAGAACCACCCAGAATACCTTAGCAGCTGCATAGCAACTCCCTGGCAACCACCCAGGGGTGCGTTTCCCGAAAGCATTGTTAGCCAACTATGGTCGCAAGTTCCGTCATTATCAGCATAGTTCAACGAGTCAGTGTTTCCCGAAACCATCGTTCCAACGAACATTCGCAAACAGCATCGCAAAGTTGTGTGGTTTGAACGACAGCTCTCGGCCTGTGGTTAGAGGCATCGTTTCTATATTGCATGACATTTGGAGGTAATAAATCCTTATATTGAGCAAAATCAGCAAGCTGACATTCAGTACAACCGGTGTCTTTTATTTAGAATACATACAAATGGAATTTACGTCTTTTAGTTTGTCAAAAGATTTGAAGTAACGTGTTTGAAGAGTGCGCATGTGCGAAGGTGCACTACTATCTAAGAACGAGCCAAATATTGAGTCTGGTAATAAAGCAAAATAACAGAACAATGTGACATGTCTGTAATTATTTGAAGTAACATGTCCGTTACTTCAAATAATTAAAACAAATCTAGCGTTAATTGGATCTCAAACAGTTTCATTAAAGGTAGTTATTACTCCACCAATGTGGTTGAACGATATTTTGCGACAGTGGGTTTCGTGAATCAGCGAACTACGTCGTTGTACGGGAAACGCACCCCAGAACAGTGGCGTGCTCGGGGGGCTTGAGCCCCTGCCTCTTTAATCGCTTATAAAAAGTCATATTGCAGTGCTCTCCGAAGCGCGGTTTCAACCAAGGGAGACCACCTCATCCATTCCCCCATCAACCGAGGGGGTACAAATCGAGGGGGAACGCAATTTCACCCCTGCCTTTGCAGAGGTCTGTTTATGCCAATGGCATAGCCACATGCAAAGAATCCACTCAGAATATCTTAGCAATACCTCACCAACCTCCCTTGCAACCACATAGCAATGTGCCAACAACCACTTGGAGCACCTAAACAACTGCATAGCAACACCCTGGCAGCCACATACTAAATATTATTCAAAGTACCTTGAATAATAACACACCAGAAAGCTCCCAGAACACCCTTGCACCCACATAGCAACGTGCCAGTATGCACTTGGTTAACACAGTCTCATCCTAAGAAGTTAAATAACTGACGTCTTGGGACGTCTTTTGACCATACGTCAACATCCGCCTTTTTACGGTACCCTTAAACGTTGGTTACATGACGATCCCGGGCCGTCATACAACTGACCGTCGGTTTAACGTCGGTTAGGTGACGGGGTAGGTTTAGGTCTGGGGTAGGGTTAGGATCCGATAATGTCATCTAACCGACGTATAAGGGTACCGTAAAAAGGTGGATGTTGACGTATGGTCAAAAGACGTCCCAAGACGTCAGTTATATGACGTCTTGGGATGAGACTGCGCTGACTTGGTACACCTTTGCATCTGCATAGCAATGCCCTGGCAACTACCTAGAACACCTAGCAAAGGATACAGCAAGTTGCTAATAACAGAGCATCTTAGCAGCTACATACTGTAGCAATTCCCTGGCAACCACCCAAGACACCCTTGATTTTTCCATAGCAACGTGCTAAGAAATGATGTACTTTGGTGACCATCCAAAAGACCCCTGCAACCACATAGCAACGTGCTAGTAACGACTAGGTGCTCTTTAGCATCTGCAATGCCCTGGAAACTTCCTAGAGCACCATAGCAAAGGACGCAGTAATCTGTAAGAACCACTCAGCACACTTTAGCAACTGCAAAGCAACCCCCCAGAACAAGCTAGAAGCGTTATGTCAGCAAGTTTTTGCATATATTTTCGAATAAATATTATGCAAATTTATTTTCCTAATAGATAAAACAGATTTGATGTGCTCTAGGCTCAGAGGTAATACTATCAAGTCTTTGAGATGAATTGTTATGCCCTCTTATTTTTAAGTACCCTACCCAGCATGGTTTTAAAACAAGGCGTCTTATTGAAGGACTCCTTCGGGCATCCGAGCTCGTCGTGAGTCTTGATTTGAGAGTGCGAAGGCAGGCAGAGTGAGCTCCGCTCGAATGAAAAGGGAGGAGGTACTGCTTGACTGAGACTATGACTTGCTGCCAGTAGTGAGAGAGAATCTGCTAATCAGCGTGTGTCTCTGCTCTGTTGTTTACAGCACCCAACACCGCTCCGTATGGAAGTAAAGGATGCGCCGAAGTCCTGCTGGCCTGCCGGTACCTGATCCTGGCTCTCTCTTCTCTCGTCAGCGTTTACTAGCCCTGAGGACGGCCATACACAATGACTGTAAAGAACCCTTTTGAGCATTTACAGATCCTTTGACATTGCTGATGGCTGGATCCAATCTGGTACAGTGTGTATGGAAAGCAGCAAGTGATTTTAATCAGCATTGCTTATGTTGGGATGGTAATTTTCTTCTGTGGTGTTTGTCATCATGTAAATACATGCGGTTTTAGGGGTTTTGTTTTCTTTCTTTTGTCGTATATTCTTTTCTTGATTTCCCACTTTGTGAATCGGTACACGTTGTCCCTTTCAAACACTCTCAAATTAGCTAAAATCGCGCTTTTGAAAAGTGAAGGGTGTGTGACATTAGTGTCTTTGTCATTGAAAAAGGAAAGACGCCCTAGTGTGCCACCTTGCTCTCCATGCTGGTACATCATTCACATCCCCATAAAGCGGGCAAAGAGTTTAAATAATACGATTTTGGCGAGCTCATTTGAATCAAGTGAACCAAGAAACATTGTTTAAGATTTCACTAAGGGAGATATATTGAAATTGAAATCAAAAGTAATACAATCAAAGGTGAAGTGAACAATTGAAGATCAGCTTTAGTTTAATACGCTTAATACGCTAATGTGCATTGTTTTTTCCACTGACAATGAAATATGATTATTCATTTTCTGGACCAAAACTGCAGCCATACCTCAATGGTTTAGACAACTGAGCTATAGACCCCAATTGCATTTAAATGAATTATGCAGTGTAAGATCATTTCTAGTTATTCTAGAAATACATGATTTATTTGTTTTACTGCAGGAAAAAGAAATCAGACTGCACTCTTGAGATTAAAATATGCATGGAGTATGAGATAAATTTACAATTTAAATGTACATCTTGTAAAATTATTTGTGAGCCTAATTGTAAAATTAAAATGAGACGCAATCAGTGGCCAAAAAGTTATAAAGTGAATAAAGATGTCCCTTCTGCCCTGGGGGTCTATAGTATACTATGAAAAAGTTGCATTTTATGCTGTGTTAAATAAGATAACAATTACAGTAGCACATAAAAGATATTAAGCAGTTGGCAGCTTGCAAAATAATGTAATGGGCCGATCCAAAGTCCATACCGGATGTAAAAGACAGCAGAAAGTGGGTCATATTTGATGTGCACTTTGATTAAATGAGAAAATTATGGACAGTGTCTAACGGAACTTATCTGATGATGATTCATTGTTGACTTTTTTTTTCTTTTCTTTTCTTTTTTTAGAGATTGTTTTATGGTTGGATTCATTTGATCAGGATTTTTATAATGTATTAACATATTATCTGCTTTGCTTCTGTCAGTGTGAAATAGTTTTGAATAGGGAAGCAGAAAAAAAAAAGAATATGCACTTCCCTTGTCGGGGACAATATGAAACTTACAAGTGTGGATCCAAACATGTGAATTAATATTATTTCAAAATACTTATGCAGTATGGCATAGTTTACAATGTTGTCTTTCATTTTAGATGCCACAACTGTTGATGATTCTTGTCAAACGAGTAGAAGTTGGAAAAAAGAACCATTTGTAATCAAATAATCTACTTTTAACTCAGAGGGTGTGAACCAGTCATACGGTATAATAGAAAACGAGTCACGTGTGTGTATATTCGAAGAAAGTAGATTTCATTTTATCTTATTGGTAGAGCCGGTGTCTAGGTTTAGTTTAACCTCTACCCTAGTTCTCACACACTTGTTGTATACTAAGATGTGCAGAAATTATAAATGTGCTGCATGTCAAGTTAATATGTATGTTAAGGTGGCCACTTACCATAAATTGATAATTTGAGAACAAAACCAGTTTTCGAGGCTGCTTTGACTTAATGAAATGTGTTCCACATTACTGGACATCACGAGGCCTGTCTGTTGAGCTATGATGAAATGTTCTTTTCATGTGAAAGTTATCTCAGAATCGTTTCTGCTCGGTGCGCAATATTGGGTCCTTTCAGATGGACTATATTTAGGCTATTTGGTCAATGTGTGACACGTTTACATTCTTTTTGTCTATTATTTCTTGCACAAAATACATTTTGAAGGACAGGAAAAGTCATCAGACTATTTCACGTACAATTACAACAGATATATTCTGACGTGAGTCTTTATTATGAGGTATCAGACACAGTATCGTATAGGTTTCACCCAATGTCCCTTTGCTTATTACAGACCTGAAAGCCTCAAAGATCAAACCGAGAGACGTTTAAATATTAATTGCTGTGTCATCACACCAAGGCCTTGCTCTTGCCGTTGTGATGTAAATAGTAACATTGCACTTGCTTATCATAACCACAAACCTTCATAATCGCAGATTAATATCAGTAGCTTTGAACAGTAAATACGCTGCATAACTTCATTTTGAGTCCACTCTAGAAGCAAGTACTGTATAAAATGTGCCTTTAAAAGTGTTAATTGATATGATCTGTTGCCATTCCATGTCAAACGCCATGTCAAAGCCTCATCCATTTGCCATTCATAACTAGCATACCAGACAAATATCAGCGTTGCACAGTATTTCTTGCTTCCTATTTGATTCTTTCAGTCCAAACTAATAGCTGATCATTTTTCTTAAAACATTTGCCAATTATGAGTTCTGTAAATATGTAGAAGTAGCACATGCTCTTTTAATTAATATTGAGAATTAAACATCAACAAAGAGCTCATTAAAGCATCATTAAAATGGCGTAAGTGGATATCAAGATAAAAAGGCTGAAAAAAAGCCGACAAGAGGCATTCATGCATGCATAATTCTCCTGAAAGTTACAGTCTTTCAAAAGAGTCTGTAAATAACAGGCAAATGTGCTGCAAATTTCCACTCTGAACATCTAATGACTTGATAATCACATTCCTGGACATGCATTAATATTCAATGACGAGTTTCAAAAATGGCTCACGTCAGGCAAGCGCTACAGTAGATGTTGACAGATTTCGCATGGTGCCGGTGGTCATGAAAACCCGATAGACAGATGCTATTTTCAAATGGGTTCAAATTACTGCAAGCAACACAGTTGTGTGGCCTGAGGAGACCCCTTGAGTTCCACCACCTTCTTGAATCCATCGCAGCGTGGTATCAGGTAGAAATTTAGATTTTTTTTTTTATATATATATATACATCCTATGAGCACATACCAGTATAGAAAAGTCTTCGGTGTTGTGTAATCACACGTGTACAGTCCAAAAAAAAAAAAACATTTAAGATTCTTCATCTCCTATCTTGAGCGGAGCTGCTGGCAAGACAGAACGAGGGTGGTAGGCGGTATTTCAATGATTAAAAACCTGTCAGCTCCATCTCTGTCTTGGCCAGACTCTTTTGAAAGTCGGTTTGAGAGTGCTGTGTGTGCGGTCAGGGGAGGTGATTCTTCTGACCTGGCAGTTAATAAAATTCTTCCTGTGCCTTTGTCAGTTTCTGGAGGATGATTTTGTGGAGTGCTGGAGGGTGCTGCATTAACCAGCTGTGAGCGCTCACTCTCCCAGCAGCACTCTGGCAGGGCTGACAGTAATCTACATAAACCTCTGTCCTTTTCAAAACGCTTGCCAGTAATTGCAGTTTTGCAGTATTCTAATTGACTCCACGGAGCACCGTAAAGAACAAAAACCTATAATCCTTCCCGCAGCCCATTTGGTTCGCGGCTATTGTGTTAAACCTTCAAATGATATGAAACTGATGACAAATGAACAGGCCGCCATGACTGTACTTAGCCTGTAGAAACATTCCTTGGCAAAATATTTGTCTGGATAATAAAGTAGCTGCCAAAACAAGAATGAGTGAATTCTAAAGCTTTTTTTTTTTTTTTTCCTTGCCATAAAGTGTTTTGTCAAGCCCCTCGCTCATTATTTTCACTGAGCTGGAAAATAAGTTAGCCAAGCACTGATACGGTGGTTTTGATAATGCTAAGGTTTTAACAGAGCTGTCTTTTGCTAAGCTCTGTTTGAAACCAGCAATTGAGTCTCGTCGAGAGAAGCGTTTACGTAAAAAGCAAGGGATCAATTTAACGCGCAAGTCTAGGGTTTTCTAAAAAACACACTATTCTCTTAAATTCACTGTTATGTTACTGTCATTAGATGTCGGTTGACCTGGTAATTTGTTGCTAGCTGTTTTGAATGGCATGGGTTATTTGTGTCGGCACCGTTCATATCTTAACCGGTTATTTTGTGAAGTGGAATATGTCCACCAGTGAAACCACCTGTCTACTACTGAGTTATTGAGCACAGATTGAGGACACCTGCCAGAATGATCCAAATTTACACTAATGCTTTTTAGAAATATTTTGTGAGCTTTGGTTTCTTTTGTATATACATGTTTATTTGATTTTGGTATCTTTTATTTTGTTTTGTTCAATTTGGTGAAAAAGTGAAATGGACATTGTAACCATATTGGGATGGCTGTACTTTTATTTCCTCAACTCTTGACGCTGAAATTTCTGTGATGAGAAATTTGAAATGGTCATCTTTACTTACATGTGTATGGAGATACTTTAGCCACCAGGGATATAGTTGTATATTTTAGGCTCTAGATCACTGGAATGACATATATGGCTTTAAGTGGCATTGATATATATTGATATTTGTCAAGAAAAAAAAAAGAATCATATACTTTAATTACTTTAAAGCTTACATTGTGTATAGCACGTATGCAAGTTCATTTTCATCATGTTTGATGTAATTTTGTAGCAGTGGTTTGATACTAATAAAGTTGGAAGTTGGTGATGGAACCGTGAAATGTGCTTTACATGATACTTAAAGAAATGTTATTTTAAAACACTGTATCTGAAATAGTCATCTGCATATGATATAATTAAGCAAGAACATAAGATGGTGTGTTTTATTGCATATTAAATAAATATGAATAAATGTAAGATAAATAATATGAATCTATAGACTTCAGTGAACAATAATGCACCTTAATAAAATGCAAGCAACTTTTCAAGCACCCTTAAAAGTGCATTTACATCCTGATGCTGGTCTATAGTTGAAAATTTCTCTCATTTTCTCTCTGGCTTTCATAGTTTCGTACTTTCATTCCTCGTGCTACAGCAGTATTTTTTTTTTTCGGTCTTTCATTCTAGCCTACCTCGTTTGGTTTCTCATCAGGAACATAATGTACTATGGAGTCTGTTGAAGTTTAAAGAGTTAATCCCTGTCTATTTGAGTTTCCATGTCAGTGGTATATGGCCTGCACACTAGAGCGCCTCATGGGCGACTGCATTTTATGTGTGCTGGTAACAAGCTGATCTCCTGCTGCACTAGATGAAAACCCCAAATTGCCAAAAAAAAAGTGACTACATTTGGTTACATCGTGTACAATTCATGTTTACAGAGTGCATTCTACACAGAAAAAAAAAAAAACCTTTCACCTTTCGTGGTGAAAAACACATTGTGTGAGAGCGGTCACAGAGTGAATAATACTCAAGAGTTTAGTGGAAATGATTTAGTACTCTGAGTTTGTCAGCCTCCTCCCACATACCCATGACAGATATCCACACTGCAGCGTATTTATCTTTCATTTGGAGATCAGACCAGGTCATTTTCAATGGCCCTCTTAAAGCCTCAGTTAATGGCCCACATCACAGTGTTCTTTCAACTTCAAGAAAATGGTGCACGGAATAGAGAACACCAGTTCTCAGGAGTTGCTGTGATTTTGTTTTGTTTTTGTTTTAAAAAAATTGCACTGTGTTTCAAATTTTGCTGTAGTAATTTCTATATCTGCTACAAATTACAGTGCAAATATTTTACTCTATATCCATTTACTAGGGTAAGTTAAGTATGTAGGGGTGGTGATGGCGCAGTGGATAAGTCACATGCCTTTGGTGTGAGAGACCTGGGTTGGAATCCACCGCGAGACACCAATGTGTCCCTGAGCAAGACACTTAACCCCTAGTTGCTCCTGAGGCGTGCAGCCTATGACATATATAACAATTATCGCTTTGGATAAAAGCATCAGCGAAATTAATAAACGTAAATGTATATATAATTTTTTAACTTATTAAATTAAATAATTGTGTTTATTTGAATCAAAATGGTAAAACATTACATCACTAATTCAAAAATTGGAAGTAAATGCACATCTTCCATTTTTGTGCAGTAGAAACACATGCGATATACTGTATGTAACATATATGTAACAAATGTAAGATTTTGCTTTCGTACCTTGAAATTACAAACAGCCTTGCAAGTTGCAACTGCTGCTCTCACCTCGGGAGGGTGGTGGTCATGATGTGTGACAGTGATTTTGCCCCTGTAGCTCATTTCTAATTGGCTAAACTGATGGTGTTGCAACTTACTCAGTGTGAAAACACTCCTCGGTCTCCCCTACTAAGTGTCAGTTCCAACCCTACAATAGACATAGATCAGTGATCTTTTGCTGTATTTAAAATTAATAATGGACTTATTTGTTTTTTGACATTGAGTACAAAATTGTGTTCAACTCATTGCCTGTGTTCTGTCAGAGGGAGTGAACAGAGAACTCAAATGCAGAGGATTTTTGAACACAGTTTACTAAAGTTTGGTAAAAAGACAACAACCTCCAAAGTAGCCATCCATATGAACAAAAATGTGAGGAATTGTCTGGGAGGTCCAGCACTGTCCATAGAGTGCTCTGTAGACAGCATAGACTTTGGTGCACCCGAGATGCAGCGCCCACATAGGATGAGGAACAAGACAAGACTGAGAGAACAGCGAGGGCAACGATCTGCTGGCGGGTTAATTTGAATCCGGATTGAGCACCTTAGAGATAGAAAACAAAATTTGGGTCCCAGTTTATGTAAGTCTAAGGGGAATGTCCTGTGAAGATAACCAGACCTTCCGATCACACACGTAAAGTGGGGGATTAGTATGCAGATGCCTTGTTCTTGTCACCAGTCCGAGTGAGGCTTCTCTGGCGATCCTCCATGTATGGAGGCATCTCTGAATAAGCGCATGTGCGGAAGGCACAAGGGCATTGAATTCTTGGGAGGGGAATAATGTTGGCTGGTAGCCTAAACAGTGCAGGAAGAGAGACGAACCCGAAGACGAGACCAAGAAGTAGTTATGCGCATACTGAACTATGGTTAATCTGGAACTCCAAGATGAAGATTATGCAGATGCCACACAGCGCAAGACCCTCTTCAGATTCTGGTTAACATGCTTAGCCTGACCATTAGGGGAATAAAATGGACCACCTTCAAGAACCTTTACACCAAAGCAATGACTACAGTTTTGCCACTAGACATCGGTAGGCCTGTGACAAAGTCCGCAGCTATGTGTGACCAGGGCCTCAAAGGGGAGATGGTCCTCACTGCGGAACATGAAATCCATGGGGAGGAGTCGGATCCAGATCCTACTCCTCCCACCTTACATACACCTAAACCTAACCAACTCCGCCCCCTGATCTCTAAACCCACCCCTAATCCCTAAACCCAACCCTAATCCTACCCATCTCCACCCCTTGGATTGTGATCCGACTCCTCCCCGTGGATCTCATGTTCTGCATTGAGGTGCTACTGGCAAAGGGACAGACATCAGCTGGAGTAACCCTGCTTAGGGTCGATTGGATCTTTTGCCGGCAGCAAAAATCGAACAGGTCGACACGAACTGACAAGCCTCTCCAATGCCATGGACGGCCACCAAAACTTGTATGCTTGGTTAACATACAAGTATGAGTCGCACCTGGATGGCAAGCTAGTCCCCTCTGTTGTATGCTAATTCGGATCGATTCAGGCACAAACAACAGGCTCTCTGGGCACTCCGCGGGAACCAGGATGTTGCTCAGTGCCATATAGATTCTGGATTCCACCCCCAGGTGACCACCGTCACCACCCGATCAGGAGGCAGAAAAGTCACAGGATCTTGCCTCAGCCTCGAAGATACGCAAAAGCGCATCTGTTTTACGGTTCTTGGACCCCGGCTGTAGGTCCCCTGTGGCTTTTGAGCAGTGGCGCCACTCCTCCAGCGCCAACAGCCAGTAACTCCCTATTCCCGATGTCATGATTCTGTTCCGAGGGGGTTAAATAAGAGGGGAAAAGGCGCAGGGATGTATTCTGTTGTCCGAAGGTGATCTCTGAGACAAAGTTCCCCCCACTCCTCCCACCTCAACAACAAACTGACAAGATGTGTCAGGAGTAGCAAGGATGGGAGCTCCAACAATGCAATTCTTTAAGTTTGTAAACGTAGACTGGGCGTGTGGCGACCAAAAGAAACATTTTTTATTTGGAGGTGAGATCAGTCAGAGGAAGGGCAACCTGGCTAAAATTTCGAAAGAACCGCCTTTAAAAATTGGCGAACCCCAGGAATCAATGGACTGCTCTATGACCATCTGGGGTTGGCCAATCAGCAACCTCTTTTATCCATTCATATACCTTCGAGTGAAAGAATAAATCCCAGGAAAGGAACCAACCATATGTGAAATGCGCACTTCTCCACCTTGCACTCACCTGACGTGTTGGACATGTTGGCGCTTCTTTTGGGAGAAGATCAGTCGTCGAGGTAAACAAATGCAAACCGGTCGACCATGTCTCTGATGCGTGGAAGCCCAAAAGACATGACCAAATATTCATGTTCCCCGTGGGGGTGTTAAAGGTGGTCAGAAAACAGGGGGAAGCCGATGATGCACCCTGAACCGTGACATGTTCGGGCAATGCACAGTAGAAATACTTTTTCTGGCCTTAGTTTCCAATGTTATGATTAATGATAAATTCATGTTTAAATTTGTGTCGGAAAGTCTTCAACCAGAAAATTATATTGTATTAATTTGTACAATGTCATTTTTATGCAAATATGTGATTTTTAGAGAAAAATTAAGCATGAAGGTCCACCCCACCCCTAAACATAACCATCTTTGAAGCATTAGCAGCTGGTAACATGCGCATGAGATCGTACAAATTCATTTTAATTAGCCAGCAATTTACCAAAAAGTAAAATGTTTTTCTATAACCGTGAATGTAAATGTTAGACAAATAAGTAGATTTATTTTAAATAATTTACATGTATTTATTTATTTTATTTGATCGCAATAATTTGTTTTATATAATTTGAATATTTTTTATTCGAATTTGCTAATTAAATATATATATTGTCACGTTTTCAATGTGTTTCGTTCTGTTTTGTGATCTTGTTTTCCCCTGTCTTTTGTGATTTTGGTTCACTCCTGTTATTGTTTCCCAGTCTGTTTAATTAGCGATTCCTTTCACCTGTGTTCTGTTAATTATCCCATTAGTCCCTGTTCATTTAAGCCCTGTGTTTTCCCTCAGTGTTTGTTGGTCGTCGTCAATTTATGGTTGTGACTGTTTGAAGTCCTGTAGAGGTTTCCTATGTTCCTGTATGAATCAACTATATTGAAGTTTGGCGTCATACACTAACCCTGATATATATATATATATATATATATTATATATACATATTGTATATACATATATAGGCAATCAGTGCTGTCAAATCGATTAATTGCAATTAATCGCATTTTAACATAAAAGCTTGCGTTTACGTAATGTGTGTGTATATATATATATATATATATATGTATGTGTGTATATACACATATTTATACACATGTGTGTGGATATTATGTAAACAAACTTTTATATTAGACGTGAATACAGTTTTGGGGAAAGAAATCTGGTTATCGTACTCTTGATGATCTCATGCATTAGCAAAACTGACATTAGCATTATGTCAACTTAATTTAGAATTTGAGTTGTCCCTCAAATTGTAGTGACATTATAAATAATGACAGAAATAATACATTAT